GGTTGGGAAGAGAACCTCAGAGAAGACGGGGAAGAAGCCCCGAGGGAGTCTGGCCCCCGCCAGGAGCACCCCCACCCCCACACCCCTTTTTTGACCATTCAAGGAAGCAACCGCTGGCTCTGCAGAAACGGGCCACGCTCCAGGCCCTCGCCGGCCAGCTGGGGCCTTCCTGGCGACTTACCATCTCCTCGTTGTTCACAGATGTCTGGATGAGCATGGCCAGAGAAATCCCAGACTTCCGGGCAGCCAGCGTCTTCTGCAAAAAGCAGACCTTGCAGTGAGAAGAACAGGAACGCCAAGCAGGGCAAGAACGGGGGATTGGGGCCATTGTTTGGCCCTGGCAGGATACAGGGTTAGGTGTGTATGTGTGTGTGTGTGGGGGGGGACACCTGAGGGAAGAGCTGGGCCTGTTTTCACTGCCCACTTAATGTTTCCTCAAAGGGGGGGGGGCTCTTGCCAAACTCCTCAGGGCAGCATTTGGGATGGCCTGTAAAAACCTCTTCCCAGTTCTCTCATCCTGGCTGCTCAGGACTAGGATGAAAACGCTTTCATGGAAATAAGGAGGCCCAGCTTTTTCGGCCAAAGGGCTCTGGGCTGACCTCCTGCCGAATTCACAGCACGGCCTTCTTGCCTCTGGTCTTGCCGAAACCTCTCAGTCCAGCGACCTCCCAAAACTGCACTGGCTGAAAGGAGGCATTCGAGGGAAAGGCTCAGAAAGGAGCGCCCTCCCCCTCCTCCTCTCCCCCCTCCAAATCCCAGGTACCCCTCCATTCCTTTCTAGGGGTCCCCGGGGCCCCCCCATCCTTGCCCCACCCTGCCTGCATGACTCTTGAAAATGGGAGGCCCCCGCCTTGCTAGTCCCCACGTGCCGGCCAGAGAGGCAGACTTTTGCCAAGCCTGGTTTCTGTCCTGGGACCTCTGCAGAATGACCAGCAGCCCCACCCACCCCACCCCAGCCCCCCCACCCCGACCATGAGTAACCTCTGACGGCCTCCCCACAAGGACCCCTTTCATGGGGACGCTTCGGAAAGAGGCGAGCCTGCCCGCACAGGGCCACTCCAAGCACGGCCCAAAGCGCTCCCCTCCGCCTGCCCTTTGCCCCTCCCGCTGGAGCAGAAAAGGCAGGCGAGGGCAAGGCGGGGGCTCCACGGACCAGCCTGGCCCCTCTTTCTGGCTCCCCCTCCCCCAAACAGGGCTGCCTGACACACGGGCCAGGTTCAGGATGTGCCGCAGGAAGTCCCACTGCCGGGATCAGCCTCCATGCAGTCAGTCTTTCCTCCCTCTGGGGCCTGAGTTCAAGACGTCCATCCCAGCTCTGCTCAGCTCATCCCATCGTGTACAGAAAGGGAAAGACTGGGAGACCCCAGGAGCCCAGAGGGAGGGGCTCAGGAAAGTGGGGGGGGGCTTCCTCCTGCAGTGCGGAGCCAGAGTCGTGGGTGGCACCGTCGGCGGCTGAGCCTTGAAACCGTCGCTTATCCTAATGAAATCATGCCATGCCCATTTCCTCCAGACGATCCTGCCTTCTGTGTTTCCCTTGACAATAGTTAAACTTACAGAAGGATGTAATATGATTAACTCTGTGAAACTAATTACGATGTACGAAAGAATCCATGCCATGGTCTTATTTGGCTTGCTTCATTATTGCAGTATGACAGCTAACAAATGAATCTCACCAGCAAACTCTACAGTTTAGCTAGTGCGTGTCACTAATTCATAATTAATTTCCTCAGCTAACCATTAGTACTGAAATAATTCTGTTTGCTTCTCAGCTTCCATCTTTCTTTTTTATTTCGATAAGTACAATATGTTCATGAAGAGAAATTAAACAGATAAACTTTTGCTTTGCCAAACAGTAAGAGAGGGGAAAAAAGCCAGCCGTGATTCAGTTTCCAAAATAAAGACTTTGCTGCCTGGCGTTCGTCCTCCCAACCACCCCACCTGCCCGAAGCCCCCTCGCTGGGATTTTCCAGGGCAGCGGAGAGCGCTGGGCGCCGGCCCACCCAGCGAACCCCTCGAGGGGGGCTGGCAAGGCCCTGCTGGGAGCTGCGGATGGGAGTCACCCTCCACAGCCTCGGCGGCAAAGCAACCCTTTCCAGCCATCCTCTGCTCACCTGCCCAAAGGGCGGAGGGGGTCCTTCCCTCGGCCGGGATCAACTCCCGGGTACTCAAACGATGACAAAAAAAGAGAGAGCGGTCTGTCCTCCCCCAACTCAGATTCCTCTCCCCCCTCCCTCCCTGCACTGCTCAGCACTTCCCCCCTGAGCTTGGTGGAAACCCAGCTCGGGAACCTCGCCTCGGCTCGGCCTGGCAAAAGCACCAACACAGAAAGGGAGCCGACACAAAGGATCAGGCCGGCAGCAGCTGGTGGTGGTGGGGGGAAGTCCACTCTGTGCGCCCCACTCTGCCTCCCACCCTGCCACCGACCCTCTTCGGTCACCCACCCCACTCCCAGGACTGGCAGCAGAACAGAGACCAGCCAAGATCTCTCCCTCTCTCTCACGGGGGAAGAGAGGCAGGATTCCCGCTTCAAACCCTGGCTGTGAATGTGTCTCCAGCCACAAGGGTCAGAGGCTGAGCTTGAGCCCCACCTGGCTACCCGAGCCCCACACATGTGGGTCGTGGCCACTGAGGTTCCTCCTCCCATGGGGGCAGTTTGTGGACACCAGGCTCCTTCGACGCAGGCCGCCTAGCTGGGCCTTCTGGCCTTCCTGGGACCCCAGACAAGGGGTGGGTCCACCCCCCTCCCAGCATCTTTCAGCATCCGGAAGTGGACGGCCTCCACGCATCCAAAAGAACAGTGGAAGCTGCTCATTCATTTTTAATTCCAGTAAATAAATAAACAAGCTCTTCCTCTCCTCATCAACTCATCTCCTTGTCCTCCGCTCAGGAAGTCCTGTGAGAGGTCTCACATGATGGTGAGGAATTAATATGCCATAAAGAAGGCAAAGGGGAATCCTGCGGCCCCCTCCTCCACGGGACGGCCCCCCTCGTCTTCCTTGCTCAGACGTCTGAATCGTGAGCAGGGGAGTTGACACCCACCTTCCTCGTTTCCCTTTCTGAGGCATCCTTTTGTGGAAGGACACCACAAAATCCTACTAAAGAATCTGTTAAGTACAGAGGAGGCCCCAGGGAGATCTTCCGGACTGCCACGTACATAGGGGGCCACGGACGGAACAGCTCACCCATGGCAACACCTTCCGTGGCAACCAGCAGGGAACGTGCCACTGAATCTGCCCATTTCAGAGCTCTGCCATTCATCGTCTCTTTTGGAACAAGGTTTCAGTCCTATTTTGCAAACCCACTTAGCAGTAAAGTGCTGATCACAATGAGGTATTTCTAATTTCCAGTGAATGGATGCTCTGGAATGCAGCTTTTCAGAAATACTAAAGATTAATTATGTCATTTGAAAACATCCATCAAGAAAAAAGCACTTACCATTGCCTGGAAAATCCAGCGTTGATGAGAAAGCAATGGGAGAAAGCGTTAATAGTCTGGCGAGGCAAGGAGGATGACAGGCAGAGATGGATGCCACCCGCTGGTGTCAAAACCCTGGCAGGGCCCAGCCGTGTCCCCCCATTTCCAAAAGATTCACCCGGGAAATTGGACTCATCCCTGGGGAAGGACGCTCAGGAGGAGGACGACAGCCTCCCATCCCTCTAACGAGCATCACAGAAATATAATTAGCGCAAAAGCAATGTTTGTACTACAGCAGTGGCTCCTGTTGTCAAATGTGTCAGTACACAGTGAAGGCGGCAGTATTTTCAGAATTCTTTGGGAGCCCTTTGGCAATGGCAGAGCAGGAAACTCCATTTATTACAGAGTTCTCAAAGAGCTGAATTACTGCACAGCCGCATCAAAGGCAGACCATCTTTGTGTGTGTGTGTGTGGGGGGGAGAGGGAGCCTTTGTGGGGTGGGGGAGAGGGAATGGAGCAAAGTGGGGTGCACATTCCCTGGGAGTCAGGGGAATGTCCTGCAGCTGCCACCGCCACCCACCCCCCGCTCATCTTTTTTTCTACCATGTCTCTCGGTTCTAGAGGGACCTTAAGCACTGCCAGCTGGGGCCGTGTCTCTGGATGGCCACATAATTCTGAGCCAGGCCACATCCAGGGAAGGGCCAAAGCCAGCTTCCTTTGGCGCCCTTTGCCCAGTCAGGGCCCCCAAAGGGAATGGAAAAGCATTGGGGAAACAAGACACCTGTCCTCACATGAATGCCAGCCCCCCGCCCCACTCCCCGGCATATGGGTCAGAACTCACCAAGTCTCGGACGATAGGGAACGACTTTTTGCGGCGCAGGTCTGGCATGCTGTCAATCCCATACAAGGCACTGTTGGGGCTGAAGCAGGGAGAAAATAGAGAGGGGACCAGATCAAGATCGAGGTGCTATCGACAGAACAAACAAACCATAAACCTGAACCAATAAAGAGGAAAACAAGAAATGCAGACACAACGGATTTTTTCTTTCTTTCTGAAAAACCATGGAAATCATGGAGCCCACTAAGCTTTTCTGTGCCCATTAAAAACAAAGCTCTGTGGAATGTGAGCAATGGTTTCTAGTGCCACCTAAGATTGTCTTAGCCCTTTCAGCAGAAGCATCACACTAGAAGCTGAGGCAACATTTAAAAAAAATCTGATTCTTTGATGTGCATGTCTCCCTGAGGCCCAGTTGCTGAATAAGCCGTTTGTCTTCTGCCACACGAACTCTCCTGTAATGCCGAAATCTCTTGCCCCATCCCACAGGCTGACAGCAAATGAGCAGAAGGCAAAGGGGGAAACTGGTCCTTCCCCACGCACCCTCACCGTGCTCTTCAGAGGAAGGGTGGGCATGACTCACAAGTGGACCCCTCGCCAGCTTACAGAGAGCAAGGGCTGGAAATCTGGCAGCCCCGGGCCCCCTGTGGCCCTACGGGGCCAATTCTGTAGCCTCCGGAGTGACCTGCTCTGCCTGCCTCCTGGGTGCCAGGGCCAGAGCCACGTGGAGTGCGGAGAGGGGCTCAGCCCCTCGGGTCTTTGCGAAACACGAAATGCCACTGGCACTTCTGTGCCACCACCTCAAGTTGTCTACCTGGCACTCTGGGGCCATCAAAAGCAGGGTTATTTCAAAAGGTCATGGTTTCAAAACATACACAGGATGCTGCCACTTGGCCTCCATGGGCTGTGCCCAAGGTGGCACAAACGTCCGGCCAAAGGTCCACTCAAAGTGGGCGGAGATGCCAAAGGAAGAGACCGGAGCAGACGGCTCAGGGTTCAGGATGTTGGGAAATTCAATTGCCACAATAACGTGGAGTGCAGGAGAAGACACCTTGTTCCCAGGCTGGCATGACGGCTTGGCACCCGAGGCACCATGCCCAGCTCAGCTGCCAGCAGGAACCGAGAGGTTCGTGGGACTGCCGTACATCAGTCTCTGCCCTGGCGGGAAGGCAGAAAGATGGACGTCTCTTCCCTGCCTTCTCCCCCAACCCATCTGACACCTGGTGACCCCCAGGAAGTGTAAGTCTATCCAGACAAACAACAAACAACAAAACACCCCAACAGTTAGTCTTGGAAGTACTATGCGTTTTTTTTTAATTTTTGCATTTTGTTTTTGTCTGAACGTTCTTCCACAAACTAAAACAGTTACTCCTGTGGAAACAACAAGGGTTGATGCAGGTTTCTCTTCCTATATGACACAGCTAAATCAGAGCAGACGTGGAGGGATATTGCCCCCACTGCTTGGCAGCCCCCACCCAGAAAAACCAGCAGGGAAGGAGGGGGGCTTTGCGCAGAGTGAGACCTGTTCAGGAAACACGTTCCTAATGCCATGAATGTTTGCTCAGCCACACCCAGCAATTCCCCCTCCTGCCCCAATCCATCAGGATTTCCAGCTGACATGGTAATTCTGATTATCTTCCTCCATTGGGTAACCTGAATGTTCCCTGAGAACCGGGAGAGACACTAAACCCCACCAAATGCCCTGGGATGGAGCCGGCGGCAGCAGGCGGACGCTGCCACTGAGAATGCTTAACAGGGTTTCCACAAAAGGGATTAATGGCGCTTTAACAGCAGCCAAAAATATCAGTTTCTGCTCCCCTGTAGCAGAGCAACCCTTGTCGTATCATGTTAAGCCTCTGCTAAGAAGCTGCCTCAAGATGCTGCCGGACAGGGTTGGGCTGGGAAGGGGATCAGGCAGGTGTGGGACCTGATCCTGCACGCTTGCGGAAGCAGGAACCCGGGCAGGCTCACTGTCAAAAGGTCCGCTACGTACAGCGAGAAGAAGACTGGGAAGAGAAGTGTGAAACCATGTTTGTTTACCGCTCCTTGTCGGTTATGCTACCCATTTGCATTTTATATTAGCGAGTCTAAGTCTGGGATTATTCCGTGTCACTTTGTGATGCAAGCAGGGACCTGAGCGAGAGGCCTGCCGTTTGGGTCTGATCCAGGCTAGGGCTGGCAAAGGCGCTGCAACGGTGGAGCCCAAGATGGACGGCTGCCCAAGACCTGTCCGGAGAGTCCACCCCCGCCCTCATGGAGTGGCCCAAGTGGAGTTTCCAGGCCTTTCCAGCGAGAGCGGTTTGGGCCTCTGGGACAGAGGGGGGCAGGGGACGGGACTCGTGACCCTGCCTGGAAAGCTCCCAAGGTGGGGTCCTTCTCCACTGAGATGCCCCAAAAAGCCAACCTTTGCTGGTCTCCCTTCTCCCTCCCCCTCCCCACCCCTCCCCCCATGGAGATGGCCAGGAGAACACGGCTATTAAAGACAGGTGTCTGCCTTCTCAAACTGGGAGACAAGGCAGCACCACTAACAGGAGAGAGGAAGCATCCTGATTCCCAGCCCCCCCCCCGGGTGGCTCAGCCAGAGTCCGGGAATGCTCTGGCTGATGCCTCCTCAGATGCCAGTCCCCATGGAGACGACATCAAGGAAACCCTACAGCGCCCAGCGAGGGCAAACAGGGGGGGCACAAGCAAAGGCGGGAGGCCAAAATACGCAGGCCCTCGTCTGCGGCCGGGCTGGGGCGGTACTCACCCGACGAAGGCCTGGATGGCCAGCTTGGATGCCTCCAAGGGCCCCCCGCCCTTGATGCGAGCCTTGAAGGGGGAAGAAGGAGGAGAAGAAGGGGGGTTAGTTGGCAGGCACAAGCCGGGTTGGGGGGCAAGCAGGCAGACAAGGTGCGCCACAGACAGAACACCTGGATGGAAAAGCTAAGCCGGGCCAGCTCCGCGCCAAAGCTACAGCCCTTCTCTGGGTCAAGAAGACAAGGACGACAACACCAACACAGCAACATCCAGCATTTAGAGAGCCCCCCCACCCCACCCCACACAAACACCCTGGCCGGCCGGTTAGCTGCCCGGCTGTGCGTCCCCTCTCCCCCCGCAGAGACAACTTCCCCTTAAACCCTGGGGCGCAAGCGGCGGCAGGTGGCCAAGGCTGGGGGGGTTGG